GAAGGCTCCTTTTGGGAGATTTTGGGCATTCCAGAAATTCCCAGGTAAAAAATGAGGGTGGACTCCCAGATTCCCAGAGAAGCAGCAGGAGCTCTGTGATTTTGTGCACACACAAACACCTTCAGGAGAGGAGCTCACACTCGTGTCCCACCCCAGGAGCACCAGGTGAGGGATATAAAGGATTTCAGGAGCACCTGAGCAGGAGAACTCCACCCAGGACTTTGGATTTCCTGCTCCAACCAACAATTCCTCCCTCTCCAAACCAGGGTGAAGTTAAGCAGAATGAAGTCAAACCCACAAAAAATAAAGGCCAGGAAAACTTTCCAAAGAAATCTGTTGGGATCAGCTCCTGAGGGACAGGGTGGGAGCCCCAACATCCCTCCAGGAGAGAGATGAACCCTCCAGGAGAGACGAACCTGGAACAAAACCCTGGGGAAGGGATGAAGGCCGGGAGGAAGAAATGGGGAAATCCCTGGAGGGATGGAGGGAAGGCAACCAAGGAGGAAATTTTTTCCTGCTTTCTCTGCATTCCCCAAAAGCCAAACCAAGAGGAGAAAGTGCCTCTTTTCCCCATTTTTCCCCCAGGGAATGCCTCTCCCCCGAGCACCCACCTCGTGGCGAGAGGCTGCGGCGCGGTGCAGCGGCGTGAGCCACACCGTGTCCTTGGCGTTCACATTAGCACCTGTGGGGGGACAACACGGGCTCAGGGGGGGTCCCAGCACCCCAAAAAAACCCCTCACATGCCTCTCCCTGCTGCCCAGACCCTGACACAGAGCAGGGAACATTCCTGATTATCCCAGATCTTTAAGGGACTGGGAATTTTCCCAGTTTCTCCCTGTTGGGAGGGTTCTCTCTCTCCTCCCTGAGGCTGCACAGGGTGAGGAGCAGATGAGGACGCTCCAAATTCAACACACACAGGGCTCAAACACAGCCCAAAACTCAGCAAAACCTCCCCCCCCCCCAGATTTTGGGGGGTTTTCTCTGGGATCAAGTGGAACTGCTCCTCTGAGCATCCCTCTCCCGGTTCCAGGCCGTGGAACCTCTCAGGATCGTGGCACCATTCCCTGATCCCCACCCTGGTGCACCCCAGAGGCTCGGGGGGGGTCAGGGGGGTCCCCCCCGGGCTCACCTGACAGGATGAGCAGCTCGAGGATTGCAACATCTCCGATGTAGGCAGCAGCATGGAGCGGGGTCCGGCGTTCTTGGTCCTGCAGGGGGAGAGGGAAAACCCAGCTGTGAGCTTGGAGGGCTTGGAAAGGCTGGGAAAACCTGGGAGAAGCTGGGAAAACATGGGAGAGGGCAAGGAAAGGCTGGGAGAAGCTGGGAAAGGGGTGGAAAAGGCTGGAAAAGAGTTGGGAAGGGCTGAGAGAAGAGTGGGAAAGATGGGAAAAGGCTGGGAAAGGGTGAAAAAGGGTTGGGAAAGGCTGGGAAAGGCTGGGAGAGGGGTGGGAAAGGGTTGGGAGAGGGTGGGAGAGGCTGGGAAAGGACCGGGAAAAGGCTGGAAAAGGCTGGGAGAGGGCAAGGAAAGGCTGTGAGAGGGTGGGAGATGCTGGAAAAGGGGTGGGAAAGGGTTGGGAAAGGCTGGAAAAGGATTGGGAAAA